CCTGGTCCTGGAGGGGTCAGTGTGTCTGCAGCAGGGCTGTCCAGTTCTGGTCCTGGAGGGGTCAGTGTGTCTGCAGCAGAGCTGTCCAGTTCTGGTCCTGGAGGGGTCAATGTGTCTGCAGCAGGGCTGTCCAGTCCTGGTCCTGGAGGGGTCAGTGTGTGTGTCTGCAGCAGGGCTGTCCAGTCCCGGTCCTGAAGGGAGATGGTATTTTCTAAATACTGCAGCTAGTAATATTTATGATGTTACTGACCCTTCTCATCTTTATTTCTCATGCAGAATTGATCTCGGCATACGTACTGTTCTACTGCCTGCACTTAACTCATGGGTCCACAATTCTCATCCAGAAGTACAGTATCTCCTCAAAAGAGCTCAGCTTCAGCAACGTGGCTGGACTGCTTGTTCCCCACTGCCAACACTCTTTGTGTGAAGTAATGCCTCCAGTCCTGACTGGAGGATCTCATCCAGCTGGTTCCTGAGAGAAACCTGGGTATTGGCTTCAACATCATGGCAGTTCAGCGTGTTCCACGCTCCCACCACTTTTGGTGAAAAGAAGCAGCTTTCTGAATTCAGCCCTAAATGCTCATTCTTGACTTTCAGATGCATCCTGGGACTTTTTGTGGGTTGACTATTTGCTGCACCTCGGAGTTTTAACTCATCGTGTGCCCTTCATCTCAAAAAACATAACATAACAAAGAGTTTTCCTGCAAAGAGATCTGTTCTTTTTACCTGACCCCCCCCATCTCTCCCCCTCCTTTCGTTCTCTCCATCTCCCGGCCTGCCTTTTGCTCCCAGGTTCAATACGGAATTCTGCTCCAGCCCGGGATCCCCAGCCGCTACCAGGAGTGATCTGCCTGAAGAGGCACAGGAGAAAGAGAGGGTTTACTGAGCCGCCGCTGGACCGAGCCTGACAGCGGGAGAAAGGAAGTTTTGGAAGAGGGTGGGGAGAGATGGGGGGGCAGATAGCGCAGTTTATAAACACCGGAGGAGCATAATTACAGCACACAGGGTTGATAAGGCAATTGAGGAAAGGGTGCAGCTTCAGTCCCACGCGCTCCTGAGACGAGACGAGAGAAGCCAATACAGACACAGGGTAAGAAAGAGATTAACAAGACACTGGCTGGACACTCCAGTACATTAACACTGCACTGAGAGAGAGGGGTTCATACAG